TGGGACGTATCTCATCAGGTCCCATGGACTTGTATATCTTCAGGCTCCTGAGTTGATCTCGTACCTTGTCTTCACTTACTGTGGGAGGGACCTTGTCGCCCTGGTCTCCAACTTTTTTGTCATCAACACAAGAACTAGGAGGAAGGGGGTTACCAGTGAAGACCGAGGCAAAGAAGTCGTTGAGAACTTCTGCTAGTGGATGAGAAGCTGTCCCCACTCATCACTTATTGTTTTTTTTTTTCCCTCTGTAAACCAATTAGATGTAGCACTGAGTGAGTCACCATGAGGTCCTCTTGGCTTGGTGTCTTCTTCTGAGTGCTCTGGGTTCGACCCCTTGCCCTCTTGCCTGTCCTATCCACCTCTGGATCCCCTGTGTCCAGCGAAACCACGAGGGGAGATTACTGGGGGGGGTGGGCAACTTCGGGGACAGCAGAGCAGGGGTGGACCATCTCCCCTCACCAGAATCCCTGGGGACCAGTTGTGGCACTTGACCAGGCTGGAGGGAGCCATTCACAGGTTTGGGGCTCTGTTCCCACTCCCCAAACAGAATGAGTTCGGGCTCTGCCCAAGCTCTGCCCACCGCTGCAGGAGCTTCCATGGGGTGAGAATCTGGTTTCTTCTGGTTTTCCTTTGCAGGTATACAAGATGTAACACTGTGTGAGTCTCCGTGAGCTCCTCCTGGCTCAGTTCCAAAAAGGAGGAGTTTGGGACCTGCCCACTCCTGTGGTTGCAGGTGTGTGATGAGAAGATGCTCTCTCTGATCACTCGTTTCTTCTGGTTTTCCTTTGCAGGTATACAAGATGTAACACTGTGTGAGTCTCCGTGAGCTCCTCCTGGCTCAGTGTCTTCTCCCTGGTGCTCTGTGCTTGACGCTTCCCCACCTTTCCCATCCTCTCCATCCCTGCATCCCCTGGGTCTGAACAAATCCAGAGGGGATGTACCTGGGGGCATGGACAGCTTGGGGACAGTAAAGCAAGGCTTGATCCTTTCCCCTCACCAGAGTCTCTGGGGACAGTTTATGGGACTTAACCAGGCTGGAGGGAGCCATGTGCAGGGTTTGGGGGTGTTTTCCCACTCGGAACAAAGAGGAGTTTGGGATCTACCCACTCCTGTGGTTGCAGGTGTGTGATGAGAAAGTGTTCTCTCTGATCACTCATTGCTTCTGGTTTTCCTTTGCAGGTATGCAAGATTTATCACTGGGTGAGTCTCGGTGATCTCCTCCTGGCTCAGTGTCTTCTCCCTGGTGCTCTGTGCTTGACACTTCCCCACCTTGCCCGTCCTCTCCATCCCGGCATCCCCTGGGTCTGGAGAAATTCCAAGGGGATGTGCCTGGAGGCATGGACAGCTCGGGGACAGCAGAGCAGGGCTTGATCCTTTCCCCTCACCGGAGTCTCTGGGGAGAGTTTATGGGAATTAACCACGCTGGAGGGAGCCATGCGCAGGGTTTGGGGGTGTTTTCCCACTCGGAACAAAGAGGAGTTTGGGATCTACCCACTCCTGTGGTTGCAGGTGTGTGATGAGAAGATGTTCTCTCTGATCACTCATTGCTTCTGGTTTTCCTTTCCAGGGGATCGAGAAGAAGAACTGGGTGAGTCTCGGTGATCTCCTCCTGGCTCAGTGTCCTCTCCCGGGCGCTATGTGCTCAACCCTTCCCCACCTTAGCCATGGTGGGCATCCTGTATTCCCTGGGTTTGATTATACCCCAAGGGGATGTTCCTGGTGGGGTGGGCAGCTGGGGGACATGAGATCAGGAAAGGACCCTCTCCCCTGCCCAGATCCGATGGCCACCAGCCATGAGACATTGCCAGGCTGGAGGGAGCCATTCACAGGTTTGGGGCTCTGTTCCCACTCCCCAAACAGAATGAGTTCGGGCTCTGCCCAAGCTCTGCCCACTGCTGCAGGAGCTTCCATGGGGTGAGAATCTGTCCCTTCTTGTCACTCATTGCTTCTCTTTCTCCTTTCTAGAGCAACGACCTGCAGCACCGGGTAAGTCTCTGTGAGCTTCCCCTGCCTTGGTGTTCTATCATGGGTGCTCTGTGGCCAACACTTTCCGCCCTTGCCCATCTTCTCCCTCCATACATTCCCTGGGTCCAGGCAAACCCTGAGGGGTAGTGCCTGGGGCGGTGGGCAGACTGGGGACACTAGCCCAGGAATGGACCACCTCCCCTCAGATTTGCTGGGGAACAACCATGGGATGTGACCTGATCTTCTCTTTCCGTAGAGCGGAGAAATTTTCTGCATCCTCAGAATTGAGGGAAGAGGGTATTTAATGTTATTTGATGTTTTTTTATGGGGAGTTCTCCTCCTTTTCCCTGTTTGGGAGGTGTACCTGGGCTGGCCAGTGAAGAGAGTTTTAAACTAAAAGAGGAGAGATTTAGATGAGAAGAAAGTCTTTGCTGTGAGGGCATGAGACTCTGGCCCAGGTTTGCCAGAGAAGCTGTGGCTGCCCCATCCCTGGAAGGGTTCAAGGCCAGGTTGGAGGGGGCTGGAGTAACCTGGTCTGCTGGGAGGTGTTTGTGCCCATGGCAGGGTGTGGCACTGGATGGTCTTTAAGGTCCCTTCCAAGCCAAACCATGATTCTATGACTGAGCTCTGTCCCTGATGCTCTGGCTTCTCCTGTCCCCTGCAGGCATGGGGAACCTGGGTCCAAACATGTCTGATCCTGAACCTCGGATGAAGTCTATGAAACATGCAAGAAGGGAAAGGATACAGAAGAACCTGCCTTACCACAAGAAATTTAGTTCTAATTACTGATTGCTGGGCTGGGAGGGGTGCTGGAATGGGAGGCACTGCTGGAAGGTGGAGGGGGAGGTGGGAGGTGATTCGCGGTGGGCTGTTGGGTTGGCCACAGAGTTTCTGGAGCGGAAGGGGTCTCTGAACCCAAAGCCTGAGGAGAGATCTGTGCTGTTAGGCACAGGAAAGGCCAGTTCATGGCTCCCACCTCTACTCCCATCCCCCTGTCCCAGTCCGTGCTCCCCAGGAAGATTTGGGTCTTACTGGAGTGGGCTTGGGGGCTGGTGACTTTTCCTCAATACCGCCACTGGGATCGAGATCTTCACTTTCCCACCAGCCTCGTTCCACAGGGAGACCCTGCACCCCTGGTTTTGAGTGGAGACAAGGAAAACCCAGCTGTGCCTCAGCGACAGCACCTCCTACATGTTCTCCTCCCCTTCCACCGTCTCAGTAGCCTCCAGCAACCCCTGGCCTTCTCCAGAGGCTCCTCGCTGTCCTCTCCTGGATCCTGCAGGAGATGTGGCTCTCTTTGCCCCAGCTGGGGGAGCAGATGGGGAGTGAGGGGCGGGCACATGGACTGATGTGGGGTCTCTGAGCAGCCCGGAATGTCCTCATTTCAGCTTGGATGGAGTTATTTTTCTTTCTAGTAACTGCTGATGTTTGGATTTAGTGTGAGAATGCCATTGGTCACA